TCGATCAGCTGCCTCCTGCATACCCCCTACTGGGGATGTGCCCGCAACCAAAGTACATGCCCTTGACCAGAATCAAACCTGGGACCCTTCAGTCTGCAGGCCGGCGCTCTACCCACTGCGCCAAACCGGCTAGGGCTCAACTGACATTTTCAATCAATGGGTGAATCAAAATTTCAACAAAGAGGTTTCAAGTAATCACCTCTGTTCTCGAAGCCAGTTTTAAGGCCCCATTCTCAGAGCACTTGTTTCTTTTTTCCCTACTGTTTACCTTGGAATAATTCTCCCATTTCCTCCTGTTAGCCAGGGGGGCATCGCACCGAGTTGCCCTTGACGAGGGTTAATGGATGGCGGCCATTAACCCTTGGAAACTGACTGCCAGCCACTTCTAGGTCCTCAGTGCAGCACTCCACACCCCTCCTGACCGTTCAGCCGCGGCAGCATGTGCGACATCAGCACAATGGAGCCTTTTCAATAAAATGGTGAGGTGAGCCCATCTCAGAGAACAGCCCACAGGGAATTGCTGCAGCCCCCGCGGGGAGGACCCGCTCGCATCCAGGCTTGAGCTCTGAGGAGCAAGTCGCCTGTCCTGCTGTCCTGCAGGTCGCAGCAGGTGCTGGGAGGAGAGTGCTTTTCCTAATGCGCTGCGTGAGGGAACTGCCTTTCAGGCATGCGCCTAGTTACTCCCCCGTTCTTAAGGCTCTTCTGTGTAAATTAAAGTCATCGCAGTTCTCCGGTGGGAGCTGACGAGTGGCTTCTGTCTGCATGTGGGTCTGAAAGCCGTGGCCCTGGGTAAGGTCACCGACAGAGTGAGTTTAGGTGGAAAGGGAGCCGCTCCTGAGGGCACCTGGAGCCGCCGTCACCTCGGGGCCCGCCAAGGCCCGCAGAGAGCTTTGCCAGGGGAGCTCGTGGTGGGGCAGGGCCCGTGCCCGCTCGTGTTCCCGGAAGTTCCTTTCTTATGGCTTCGGCCGCCTCTGGAAGATCTAGAAGGGTCTGAGGAACCGGAACCACGGACAATAGGACGTCTGTCTCCAGAAGGCTGGAAATAACGTTTGCAGCTCAGTGTGTGAAGTACAGTCCTGGGCGCTCCTAGGCGTTCAGGTAGAGCTAATCTTCGTGTGTTCACCTCATTAAAAGAGGATTTCCATAAGCTTTGAATAGCTCTTTGAAGATATTTATAGCTTCAATCAGCTCACCTGTTTATCAGCATTAACTTGGAAACTTTCAGCTATCTTTCAACAAAGCGGGAGATCAGTGGACTGAAAAGCATTTCCCCAGGATTTTTTGTTTTCCATTTTAATAACTCATACCTTGAAGTGTCGGGTTTTACATGAGAATCCACGTTTACCCTGAGGATCTGTCCCGTGGCCGTCATGACAATACTTGTCGTCTGTGAGGAGTCAGGGCAGCCCCGCCCCACCGGTGAGCAGTGTCACGGAGCTCCACCGAACGCTCCGAACTCCTACTGCCAGCAGAATGCCCTCTGTGCCACCGAAGCTGCGGCGCTTACGGTGCGTTTTAGAAATAGTTTGATTTTAAGTTAGTGCTTTTGTGATCTCTACATTTCTGGTGAAATATGTCCATCCCCAAACACACCTTCTTAAGTAAAAATAAAGACTAAAGTTATTGCCCTAACCGGTTTGGCTCAGTGGATAGAGCGTCGGTCTGTGGACTGAAAGGTCCCAGGTTCGATTCCGGCCAAGGGCATGGTTTCGGGCACATCCCCAGTAGGGGGTGTGCAGGAGGCAGCTGATTGATGTTTCTCTCTCATCGATGTTTCTAACTCTCTAGCCCTCTCCCTTCCTCTCTGTAAAAAAAAAATCAATAAAAAATATTTAAAAAAATTTAAATGATGAAGTCTCAACCATTAAAAAAAAAGACTAAAGTTATCAATTTTATTATATGGCAATCCCTCCCAGACTAAAGTTTTGCTTCATGCTCGGCCCTTTTGATGACCTCGGTGGTGAAGTTCCCACGACATAGGCGCGTGTATTCTTCCGCATCAGTGTTTCGGGGTCTGTGGGTATAGGCCCAGACATGGGGTCGCTGGGTCAAGTGGAAGCTCCATTTTTAATTTTTTGAGAAACCTCCACACTGCATCCCACAGTGGCTGCACAGTCTGCACTCCCACCAGCAGTGCACGAGGGCTCCCTTCATTCCGCATCCTCGCCAGCTCTTGTTGTTCGTTGGTGTGTGGATGGTAGCCATTCTGACAGGTGTGAGGTGATGTCTCATTGTTTTAATTTGCATCTCTCTGATGATTAGTGACCTTGAGCATCTTTTCATGTATCTATTGGCCAGCTGTATGTCCTCTGTATTTTTTTTATTTTTTAAATATATTTATATTGATTTCAGAGAGGAAGGGAGAGGGAGAGAGAGAAACATCAATGATGAGAGAGAATCATTGATCAGCTGCCTACTGCACAACCCCCACTGGGGATCGAGCTTGCAACCTGGCATGTGCCCTGACTAGGAATCGAACTGTGACCTCCTAGTTCATAGGTTGATGCTCAACCACTGAGTCACATTGGCCTGGCTGTGTGTCCTCTTTAGAGAAGTGTCTAGTCAGAATTTTAATTTTTATATAGCTTATATTTATATAAACAAGCATTTTTCATTTATTCTATAAATTATCTACATTGTGATTATATTCTCATTGACTTCCAGAAATAAGTTCAAAATGAGTGAGTGAAAATCCCTCTCTTTCATAGGTTAGGCAATGGCAGCTCATTGAGCTATTGCTTTTTGAAAAATAGATGGTCATTATTATGAATGATGATGCATCACTTTTATTGTATCTGTGAACTGAAAATTAAACATTAAGGCCCACCAAAGGTTAATTCTTAAAAAATAAAAAACAAGCAGACATACCAAGAAAAACCCCACAAACCCATGAAGACCCCCAACTTCATTCTTTAAAAGATGAATAAAAACCTTTTGCAGATCTTAGGAGAGGTTAGTGGAGTGCTAGGGAATGTCTATGATGAAGAGCGACACTTGGGTGTATTGTTCATTTTACCGGCTGTGTGACGACTCCATCGACTGTCCCAGCAGCCCGAGCTGCTGAAGCCGGCGCACGGGCCAGCCCGAGTTTGGGACGCCAGCCCGCTGCGTCCTGAGAAAGGACTGTGCAGCTGTTCCTGTGCGTCCACTCAGCCCGTGCCCTGGGGGTGTCGCCGTGACCACGCGGGTCGGTCTCCTGCCTCGGGTGCCTGTATTCTCAGACTGTAAACCTTTGTATCTGTAGACCAGGAAGAATTTGTGGAGGTGCTCGGGGCCCCATGTATCCTGGTTGAGACACTGTTGGGAACGCACTTGGAGGGAGAGAGCAGGCCCCGGTCCCCGGTCCCTGAGATGCTTGGCTCCTGCTGTGAAGCTTGCTGACTGCTTCCCACAGGCTGGTGTCTGCGGCCGGCGCCTCTGGGAGCGTTCCCTTACCCATTCCCTTTCTCCCTCCTTTTTAAAATCGTTTAACCTTTACGGTAGGTTATAAAAATCGAAGAATTGGATTTGTCCATATTGTTGATAAAGGTTTTAACAGTAAAGGCTCTGCCTCCTTCACCAAGCTCACCTTCCTCCACATTCCAATGTCACAGTGCTGCCATCTTCCCATGTTCTATCGGTTATCGTGGTGTTTCTGTAGCTTTAACGTGCTTCTATCTGCCACATTTCTGATACGTATATGACCTTGAGGATATATTTTATGTGGTTATTATATTGCTAGCAACACTGATATTCATCAACTTAAATACCTTGCACATTAAGGCACTAAAGTTACGAAAAGGTGTCAGAAAATGATAGTTTCTTATCAATGACTTCCCGTGTGAAAAGGTAGATATACGTATGTCTGCCTTTTCACACTGGAAACCAGAAGCTAAATATTAATCTCTGGAGACTAAGGATTATAAAATATATTGCCAATAAATGATAAAAACATGAAACTTGATATCTTTATTGTGCTTTTCATTTTACAAGTATTGTCACCCATAATATTAGTAAAGATGGCTGAACAAATGACAATTCAATATGTCTTTTTTGTAAATTAGTGAAACAAATGGAGCTTCATAAGAGTTTAGGATCTTTCTTTTCTCATGTTTATACTGTTTTCAACAAATCACATGCATTTGGGAATCTAAAGGTTTTCACTCCTAATGATCAAAAATACTGTGTATTATTTCTAGATGATAAACAAAATTTTATGCGTGGCCTTAGGTAACTCCTACCCGGCAAGAAGGAAGTTAAGGATTAGAAGAAGTATTTAGTAACGTTAGAGATTTAGAAATCTGGAAAGGCGGTTCTTTTACTGGTCAGTGCTTCTGCATAAAGTTCGCTCTTTGCAAACGTGGACGTGTGAACCCCGCTAGCAAGGCGTCCTCATTGCCAGAGGCGCGTGGGGACTGATTTGTTTGCCCGGCTTTGACTCTTGACGGTGTGTTCCTAGGGCGGCATGTGTCCTGGTGGAGAACCCAGTGAAGTGCAAAGCCCCGTCCAGGCCTGTGTGCGGTCCGCCCTCGCGGCTCTGTCTCCCCCGGGTGTGACCGTGTGTTGAAACCCAGCAAACTGGGAAGGTACTCGCATCATGAGAGATTGCTGGTCCATCCCTGCGGATCGATAGGAAGAGGAAAGGTCTGGAGCCTTCGAAACTGTGTTCAGAGCGTGGAGTTGAACTCAGGAGCACTGTCTCTGTGTCCCCACAGCCCCCACACTCCCGTCCCTCTTAAGCCTCGGCCCCACAGGGCGCCCTGCATGTCCCCAAGTTCCGGCAACGCGGCCGGCTCTCCAGGCAGCAGGTCGCCCATGTGGCTCAGTCACGGGGCTGTGGGCCAGAAGAAACGGCTCTCACTATTTTGAGCATAAAACTCGATTTCCCAAATTACATTGTTGTAGCCTCGTTGGAACATTTATCCTGTGACTGTTTCACGTGCTCCGAGGAGTCAGCCCTAACGCCTGCCGGTTTGGTTCTGCGTCGATCACTGATGGCCACGCCTCTGCTTCTTTCCCAGCAGGTAGACCGGCCTACAACAGCTTCTACGTCTACTGCAAGGGCCCCTGCCAGCGGGTGCAGCCCGGGAAGCTCCGGGTGCGGTGCGGCACCTGCCAGCAAGCCACGCTCACCTTGGCCCAGGTAAGGAGGGGCTGGCAGAGGCCGCCCGGCAAAGGGAACACACGGTTCAGAGTTGCCGCTGGCGTCACCGTGTCTCACACCGACAGCTTCCGTGTGGTCGTCATGTTCGTGGTGTCGGACGTTGCAGTTAGAGCTGCAGGACTCTGTCGGTTCAGGGAGCTCGTGCCGGGGCCCGTGTCTTCAGTGAGGCCGGCTGAAAGGAGAGGGACGGCCTCCCCCAGCGGGAGGGGAGACTGTGGGCGCCCTCTTCACCTTCCTGTGATGCTGGGAAGGGTTTGTGTCCTGGATCTGTGTGGGTAGCAGGTTTGTGTATAGATGTCAACATCCACGGGCGGCTCCTGAAGATCGTGCGCTGAAGGATGCTAAGTGTGAGGGGCAGGTGTGAAGGGAAGCTGTGGCTGGGGGAACAGCGACCAGGTGCCTTTGGAACAGGGGCCCGCAGCCCAGCATCTGCCATGGCCTCACTGGCTTCTGTACCGTCCACAAGCTGAGGACGTGTGTGACGTTTTTACGTGGTTGGGAAACATCAGGAGAGGAGTATCGCGTGAGCCGTGACCGTTAGGGGAAGCTTGCACTCGGCATCCACGGTGAAGTCCTATTGGGACGCGGCCACACCCCTTCTGCATAGGCGGCCTCCTCCCTGGGCTCCGGGCCTGGGCGGCTGAGCCCTCCGCAGACGGACTGGGACTCCGTGGCCCGAGAGCCCTGACACTTACTCTCTGGCCCCCTAGAGAAAAGGCTTTCGGAGCCGATGAAAACCTTGCACACAGCTAGTTGGTGGCGTGAGCGTGAGGCTGTGCAGGACTCACCGGGCTGAATATGAGGTGGATGCCAATGTGTGAGGGTGGGGAGGCCGGGCAGCGCGTGGAGAGGGCGCAGCCAGGGAGGCAGGAAAGGACGGAGCTGGGGCGACCAGAGGCCGACGTGTACACAGGTCCCCGTTACCACATCGGGCCCAGCGGTGGCGAGAGAGTTTAGCTTGTGTCCTGCAGGCCGCGGAGAGCCGGACAATGTGCCGCAGACACAGGGCTGCGTGAGATGATGTTAGGACCCTTAGTGCCAAACCGTCCGCCATCTGGATTGAGGTTGGTGGCAGATTGAAGGCAGAGGGGTTATTAATAAACCTTCACGGGGTGCTGAGGGCCTAGATCGGGGTTGTGCCCGAGGAATAGAATAATGGGGTGCAGGGAGGCCCCCAAGGTGCTGGAGGAGGGCAGCAGGGACCTCGCCTCACGCTGGGGAAAGGGAGCGATTACGAACAGTGAGTTCAGTGTTTCAGTCCAATACATGTCAGCCTCACAGGCAGGCCAGGTGCGAAGACCAGCCCGCGAGTGACCCAGGTTCGCCCTGACCCCGGAGGGGACCTTCCTCAGGCTGTCCCTGGAGAGAGCTTCTGTCCTAAAGCCCCACAGTGTCCTCCACCGGACACCCCTCGCCTTCCCAGGGCAGCCACCGGCCCTGCTGGTCTGTCTGACCCGCCCCGCCCCCACACAGGGGCTGTGACTGTTACCTCCTACTGTTCCCAGTAGAAAGAGCAGTGACCAATCCTTACGGAACTCCAAGCTTAATCCTTTCCAGGGGTTATCTCCGTTAATTATGTGGAAACACTCTGAGGTAAGCACTGTTAGCAAATCCATTTTAGATTGGGGAGGAAAGGAGGCTTAACGAGATTAGGGAAACAAGCCCGCTAAGCGGTGGCCCGGGATTTGAGCCGGGCGGTGTGACCTCGCCTTGGAGGTTAAAGTTCCCCTTCACCACACAGGTGGGTCTGTTACATGAGGGTCCCCTGCCGATGCCCCTGTGACCACAGGTGAGTGAAGGCTAAGTCAGGTGCGGGCAGTCGGGCAGGAAGGCCAGGCCCGTGGAAAGGAGTCAGCCGCCCGGGTGTCAGCAAATGTGTGTGTGTGTGGGGGGGGGGGGGTGGCGCTCAGTGTGGCCAATCTTTAGTTAACAAGGAGAAACCAAAAACATGCACTTTTTCCTTGAAAAATACGCTCCATGGGGGAAATAGAAGCAAACACAAAGGAAAAGCACCCCCAGCATCTGCCTGAATGCCCCAAACCTGAGTGCGGGGGTCACGTGATGCACAATGGTGGGTTGGGCCGGAGCAACTCTCCATCACGGTGAGTCTCCACGGGAGGCGGTGCAGGGTGAGCTCCCCCAGGGGCTCTGGAGCCGGAGGCCTGGGTTAGCGGCCCCTTTGTCACGCCCCCCCCCCCTCCCGTCAGCTCAGGAACTCTGGGGCGCGGGCCTGGGGCCGGGGGCTGAGGGAGCAGGGTAGGGTTCTCACTTGTTGTGACGATTAGTGGATATATGAAGAATACTGAGAACGCCAGGCGTTGGCTAATTCCTTTTAGAGAAGCGAAAGCACCGCCCCCAGCCTTGTATTTTTCTCTCATTCCTATGACAGACCTGCACAGTGGCTCTGGTCACCCAGTGGTGTGAACAGAGAGGGGAAGTGACCACCCGAGTCCACGGTCGGCAGGCGTTGGCCCCAGGAGGGAGCCATCCTGTGTGTGTTTCCCTGGAGCCCGCCTTCCCTAGCAAAGACCGGGCCTCGCAGATCTGCTGGTCAATGTCCCGTGATCCCACTAAAGCCTATGGACTTAAGCGATCGTTCAAAAGTCCTCCTGGAAAGAATATGCTGAAGGATTTTTAAAAGTGGCCGTCTTCAAAGACTCCTTAAGGACGGCTTAGCCCAGGCGCGCAGTAGTGTCTGGGTGCGGCACAGCTGGCACTCAGCCAGGGCGCAGGCCCGGCGCTCCAGCCTCCGATAGTGACCACAAGTACACACTCCACGGGGCCGTCAGATGTCGTCTCCGGGGTCAGGCGACCAGCCAGGCTGAGGGTCTGCAGGCAGGTCCTGCCCGGCGATGACGGGCAGGTGCTGAGCCGGCCCCGAGGAAGGGGTCTGTGTGGACAAGAGACAGTGCTGCGTCTCCTTTCCCAGGGATTTATAAAGATCTGCAGCCGACACGGTTTTCTCTGGTCAAGAAAAGGGAGAAAGAAGTAGGATCGGGTGTGGCTGGCTAGTGTGATGGCAGCGTGTGGTTTATCTGGGCTTCCTTCAGTTTGTTTCTGTGATGTGTCACGTTGTTGATGTGTGAATATTGTACCAGCCTTGCATCCCTGGAATAGATCCCACCTGATCGTGGTGTAGGATCTTTTTAACGTACTGCTGGATGTGATTTGCTAATATTTTGTTGAGGATTTTAGCATCTGTGTTCATCAGGGATATTGGCCTGGAATTCTCTTTCTTTGTGTGTCTTTATCTGGTTTTGGGAGTAGGGTAATGCTGGCTTCATAGAAAGAGTTTGGAAGTGTTCCTTCCTCTTGGATGTTCTGGAATAGTCTGAGGAGGATAGGTGTTAGTTCTCCTTTGAATGTTTGGTTAAACTCCCCTGTGAAGCCGTCTGGACCCAGGCTTTTGTTTGCTGGGAGTTTTCTGATTCCTGCTTCTATTTCATCAGTTGTATTGGCCTATTCACGTTTTCTGATTCCTCCTGATTCATTTTTGGAGATTGTGTGTTTCTAGGCATTTGTCCATTTCATCCACATTGTCCAGCTTGTTAGCCTGTAGTTGTGCATATCTGGACTTCTATAGGGGCTTTTCATACACAAGGAGAAACACTTGAACCTACTTAGCCACCTGGGCTATTTTTAATAACCTAATCTTATGTTTTCTGCTGGAGAAATAAGTTGGCAACAAGCCCCAGGCCTCTCCCGAGTCCTGATAGTGGCCCCCTCGTTTTGTGGGGTGGTTGTGAACTTACCCATAATTCCAGTGTTTCCTCACCACTCCTCACTATTTGAATACAATAGCAATGAGCTGCCTCTCACACATGACGCGTGAGGTGGACGTGTCTACCTGCTTCCTCTTAATAGAACGTTGTCCAGGAAAATGAGTAACCATTTCCGTCATGGCGTGAGGGGTGGCGAGCCTGATGTCTGAAGTTTGGCCTGCCCTTGAGGACACCTTGATCAGCTTGGTTTTCTTCTTTGTCCAAATCAAATTATCTTTTTTATTTCATGCTCACCTTGACCAGGGTTTCCATTAATCAAAAGAGCCTTTAGAAAAATGAACACTCACTCGAAAATAGCGAACAACGGCTGATTGGAAAACCGTGGCCGGCGTCCAATTCCCTCGCCCGCCCGTCCAAAGTCGCCCACTCGGGTCCGCACAGAAATGACCCGGCCTGAACTGAAGGGGGCGCGTTGCCCGTGCACACGCGTCTGGTCGTGCTCGGGTGCGATAAAGTGGCTGATGGAAAACATCTGCCATCCCTGCTCTCCTCGCCAGTGTGGAAAAGCAAGAATCACCGGTCATATCCTCAGAGCACTTTTATTTTTCATAACCCGGCAAAGTGGGCAGAAAAAGCAAGGTTTTCTAAGATCTGTAGACCATACGCTGTTTTTAGAAAATAATGAGAATTAAAGAAGGAATTCACATGGAAAACAGAAATAGTACCTGAGACTTACAGATGCTTGTCCTTCGCCCTTCCCCTGGGATCTGCCAGCCCCGAGAGCAGAGGGTAGTCGGTGGGTCCCTTCTGCCGTCTGTCCTGTCATGGGGGAGGAGCGAGTCCTGGTGAGGAAGCAGGATGGACAGTCTGATGAGGCTCTCAGCTCAGCTCTCCGACGCCCCGGCACTAAGCCGTGCCAGCAGGAGACACGGGGACAGTGGTGACACAGTGTCCTGGCTGGTGGCGTCCCTGAGAAGCTCAGGCTGATGGAGGAGAGTCTGCCCTGGGGACCATTCTAAGGGGGTCCCTCCCCGCAGGCGTCTGCCCGCTGAGGCTCACTGCTCACTCCTGCGTCTCAGACCAGGTGCCTTTGAGGCCACTGCTCACCGCCTGGTGGACAGCGCCTCCTGCAGGAAATAAAGCTTCCGCGATAGGAAGAAGCGGGCTGGCTTTTCTAGCAGGACACGGGCTTACAGTAAGCGAGGGTCTTCATGGACGAGTGGCGATTTCGACTGATTGCGACAGTGATGGAGACAG